AAACAGAAAACCAGGAGGAATGGAATGGAGTGTCCTGAGTAGGCACATTCCATGCTGCAACATTTTCTTTCAGGTCCCGCTAGTTCTTCCCCACTTTCCATTGTTTAATCTTTCTCTATTGTGGTTGGATTTAAAGTCAAAGGTCTCTTTGTTTACTTTAAAAGGAAGCCTGGGAGTAGGCTATTCAAGCCTTATTTGATTATAGTTGTCACAAAATTGCCAGCAAAGAAGCAATTAAACCTACTTACATTAAACGATCTGGCTCCATATTAGAAATAGTCAAGCAAATGGCAAATCTCTTAACTCTTAAGTCAATTTAGCAAGGATTAGACCCCTGGAGGGGGAAATCTTCTTAAACTAGTGCAAAGCTTTCTCCCTGCCATTTTAGCAATGGAATATAGGGGAGTAGAAATAAAAAAATAAAAAGGAGAAAAAGTTTTATCAAGATCTCCTCAAACATTCAGCTCCATCTTCTCCTCTCATAGCTAGGCTGAATATCTGACCTAAGCATATTTTACAGCTCGACATGAAATTCAGGTGCGAATAGAAGATAAGGAGCTCTGCCTACTGAATTTCTAAATCTTTGATGTTTATAACTTTATCTACTAGTACTGAATGAGTTGGGAAGTATCTCAGTGGCCAGGAAAAGGCTCGGTATGTATGTGGATATTGGGAAGTAGAGGAAAGGAAGCAGACCTTCTTCTATGAGAAGGTTCTCAAGAGGGTCCAAGGTCTCTGCTTCCCACTGAATTAGACACCCCATGCTGGTGCCATGAATTGTCTTCAGGCGGGAAAAAGACAGAATGCCATCCTCCTCATCATTTTACTGTAAATTAGGGTTGTTTAAGGAATTTGATCAATTCCAGTGGCAACTGACCTTTTATGCACCTTTCAGATTATTGTGCATATTGGATCCTAATTATTCACTGACTTTTATAGTCCCCAAATTGTCAGTGAAGTTCTCAGTCCAAGAAGTATCAAAATACATTTTTAATTATGTATTTTGAGAGAACTATGCTTAGAAATGTGCATTTTGAGAGAAAACACACTTAGCAATCTGTATTTTTATTTGCAAAATAATGTAATAAATATATTATGAATGTTATGATAAACATATGCATATATAATTGGTTCATCTACAAAAATGATCATATGTACCCCCAAAGCCACATAAACATTTGCAAAGACAGTTTGATACTTCATCTTAATTTTTAGAGAATGCTTTGCTCTACTCCATACGTTAAAATGTGCATTTGGAGAAGAAACGCATTAAGGAATGCACATTTGAATACTACTGAAATGCAAACTTTCATGCAGATTGCAAAGTTGCAAATTAAGATAGGAGTGGGACTCAGGAAGCATTGAGTCAAATGCCTTTCTGTGGGCTGTGAAATTGGGGCAGCCTTTTTGGTTCAGTTCTCTGGGGGCAGAATATGTGGTTTTTTAACCCTTAGATGGGGCTTTACATGCAAAAGGTCTCAGGCTCCATTCCTAGCAACTCCCAGTGGTGCTATGAGAGACTCTCTGTTTGAAACCCTGGAGAGATGCTTTCAGTCAATGTTGACAATACTTTTGTGACTTAGTGTAAGGCTTAATGCCTCTGCTAGGATGATGTTGCATTCTGGGATGGCATGTTCAGACCCAGAAACCTCCCCCTAAATAAATTCACACTTGACTCAAATTTTGGTTTTGGCAGAATTTAGGCCACAGCTTTATTGATTACAGCAAGTGAATGGTTGCATAGGCTCTGGTTCGACTAGCTCCCTGCACCATTGCAGGTAGCGCTGACCCAGGGTTCTAGCATAGGTCAGCCAAGGGTGAACACCTGGATAAGCGGAAAGCCAGGAACAGGCTATCTCCGCCACCCAAATGTCCCTCTGGACTCTGGCACAGGCACAACCCCCTCTCAGGGGTTGACCAAACCATTGAGTCCCTGGATTCCTGTAACGGAATACCCTTCACATAGGGATGGCGAGAGCGTTCTCCCATCCCTATCCCCTGAACCAGAGCCTGTCCGCAACCTTACAAGTTGTGACGATTTGCTATGTGGCAGGTGAAACCCGAATGGCACCAGCCAAACAGCCAAGTGGGGAAAATTCCTGCCGTGCCCCTATCCCAACGACAGATGACACATGACAGCATAGCAAGGTCAAGCACAAAGCCCTAAAAGTAGGGAGAGGGGGGTGGGTATTCCAATGCACGCACTGAAAGAGGAAGCTCTGGGTCATGTGCATAGGTATATATAGGTCCCTTGATCCAATTAGCCTGTGTCCCATTGGCCTGATTAAACCCTGCATCAAGGGACCTACCAATTGGGTGTTGTGGCTATCCAATCATACCCACCCACAACACAGGGTTTGGTTGCCAGGTCTCACCGCAACATGTGCCCTCTTTAAGGGAGGACCCGATCTCCCATTGAATCTATCTGCTTAAAGTGTTTGCCTTTTGTGCTCATCACTTGATTGATGGATCCTTTTGGATGGAGGCCTTTCCCATTAACATAAATGGGGACTTTGGGGTCTGTTGAAAAGGTGAAAAATTCTGGAGCAAAATCTGGTCAGTCTCTTGCAACATCGATGGAGTGAACCTGAATAGTTTTTTTCACCCCTTCTTTTACGACGACTACAAAGAAACCAGACAGTCCTCATGTAGCTTTTTCTTTAAAAAGAAAAGAACCTGCTCTTTAAAATTAATGAACACACCTGTTCTTTCCGGGGAGTGAAAGCCTTTGTCCGTTGGTGAGTTAGAAAAGCGAAGCCCTGGGTCTTAATAAAGCAGAACTGGAAATGGTTTCTAATCCTCAGCAGAGCTAACTTTCAGCTCAAGCGCTGATCTAGGAACATATGGAAGCTTCATTATTCAAGTCTCATATGGAAAATTGGAAATAACAAGGGTCTGGAGTTTTTGTCCCCAAAATCTGCCTCAGATTCCAGAAGCAGAAATGCATTAAAAATGCATTATTCATATTGGTCTGAGGAGGGAGGGATGTATGAAATAGCTTTTCATGTACAGTTGTACCTTGGTTGTCAAATGTCTTGGTACTCGGACGTTTCGGCTGCCGAACGCCGCAAACCCAGAAATGAGTGTTCCAGTTTGTGAAAGTTCTTTGGAACCCAAAGTCTGACAGGGGTTCCGTGGCTTCATAATAATAATAATAATAATAATAATAATAATATATTTATACTTCATCCATCTGGCTGGGTTTCCCCAGCCGCTCTGTGCAGCTTCCAGCAAAATATGAAAATACAATAATTTATCAAATATTAAAAGCTTCCCTAAACAGGGCTGCCATCAGATGTCTTCTAAAAGTCTGTTAGTTGTTTATTTCTTTGAAATCTGATGGGAGGGCGTTCCACAGGGTGGGTGCCACTACTGAGAAGGCCCTCTGCCTGGTTACCTGTAACTTCGTTCCTCACAGTGAGGGAACTGCCAGAAGGCCCTTGGCAGCCACCACCATTTCCTTCTTAGGGATGGGAGGAGAGCCAGATCTGGCCTCCAAGGAATGCATCTCCCACTGCCGCTGCCACTGCCACAGTAGCATTGATGGCTGAAGCACACTACTGGTGTGCTAGATCTGTTGCTCTCCTCCCATCCCTAAGGAGGAAATGGTGGTGGCTGTCGTCTGGGATCTCATAGGCTTTGCACCCACACAGCATGATTCAGAGTAGCTCCCTCCCTGACCACCTTTGATTCCCATTTCAACCATTGGGTTAGGCTGATTTGACCCTTACCCCGCTTTACTGAGGTACCGTGTGTTCTGATTAGCTTTGTAGTTCTGAGCGAGTTTTCTGCTATATATTTTGTTGAATGTCTCCCTGCTACGGATGAGGCCCAAACCAGGAAAGAGAAAATCTCCCTGTTCGCCTCAAATTGTACACCATTTTCTTCAGTTTCCTCAGCAAAGTCTAGTCAATATTTCTCTCTCTCTGGATTCCATCTGTGTTGTTTCAGTAACTTTGCAACCAAGAACACACACACACACATAGGCAGACAGACAGATAAGACCAGTACCTTGTCAAATCTCAAAAAAAGGGACTTATTTAGTTGTCAAACAATGCATCTGCTCATAGCTAGCAGATGATGTAATACAAATTTAGGCAAATATACGCCAAGACTGTACTGCAACCTGAATGTTGCCAACCTCGAACCATTTCACTGAAGCTGTCAGTTGAGAAAACTGACCCATCAGAGCTGGGCGAATTATTATGCGAAGGCAGCTGGTTACCTAGTGGTGTAATGGGATGGGTGAGTTTAAGATTTGCAGGTAAGAGGCTTACGGGAACCTTGCCCAAATGTTGAGACTGGAAGCCTTTCTTACCAATTCAATTTCTGTGAGAATCTGCATCTTCTCTATTCCCCTGAAGGATGTGAGGAAGGAAGGAAATCATTACAGCTGATGCTGCTGAGCTACTTGCGGCCTCAAGCAACCCGAGAAATAATTGAAATACCTCAACTTCTTCCTGATGTTGCATGTAGATGCTGTAAGAGTTCGGATACCACTTTTTTAAAAGAACATTAGAACATTTGGAAGTGCTTTGAAAAACATTTCATGGGTTTTGAGGCTCCGAATGACCTTGTCTTGTCCGTGGAGTTCATTTTTCTTCATTTGTGCCTCTTCTTCACTCTCTGCCCCCCCCTCAAGGTTACCATTGTCAGGGCACAGAGCGAAGCAACAGCCTCGGGCAGCAGGTGCTGGTAGGGAGAGGAACGACTGCAAGGTGTATCAGAACCGCAGACCTGTATGTGCCACATAGCCTGCCGTGAACCCCCTAAGCTAGCCTGATGTGCTCAGGCGCATTGGAGGATGATAGTCCATCACCAGTTTTGAACTAAGATCCAATTTCCAGTCCAGTCAGCTTCTGAACATGGAGGGGGAGGGACAGTATATTGTCCTTCACCCCATGCACCAAAAATGCCTTGGACTGAATACCCCACCCCACTGTGGCCCCCTGATGGTTCTCCACAAGGTAACCCAGCCCTCTGGCTGAAAAAGGTTCCATGCCTGGATAGCTCAGCTGGTTAGAGTGTGATGCTGGTGATGCCAAGGTGGCAGGTTCAATCCTTGTGTGGGACAGTTGCATATTCCTGCATTGCAGGGGGTTGGGAAAGATGATCCTCAGGGTCCCTGCCAACCCTATAATTCTGTGATTGCCCGAATAGTCACTGCTTTACATAGTATTTTGTGGATATATCAAGATGTATGAACTTGCTAAGCCAGTGGTTCCCAATTAGGGGTTCGGGGACCCCAGGGAGCCCACAGAACGCACCCAGGGGCTACGTGGTCCCACCCCTTGCCTCACCCTGACTAAATTATTGTCATTTTTGCATGGTGATACCACATATTTTATGGCCTGCTTTAGTGCTGCGCAATTTTTCAATATATTGGCAAAAATCGGTTTTGAAATCACACCGCAATAACGGTTTTGTCCAGAAAATACGCAACATGGTATTGCTCCTCGCACGAGGGAGAGCAAGGCAGCCCCTTTCAAGGCACCGCCGATATCGCACGATGCTCTCCGCTGATAATGCTGCTGATCTGAGCTGCCTTCCCCTAATGCTGATGGAGAACAGGGCAGCTGATTGCCCTCACTTCAAGGCACTGTGGCACTACCTCCCCCTGGCACTGAGGCAGAACAACTTTTCTCAGTCAGCAGGAAAGCAGCAGGAGTCACAGTGGATGTGCATCTTTGCCGGCTGCCACCGCTGGCTACACTGCTGATGGTGGCTTCATGCAACCCCCATCCTTATTCCCTCCTACTCAGACTCACTTCCTCCCCTCCCCTCACCCATCCGATCTCCATGGTTGCCCTTTCCCTCATCCCCACCCCTGATCTGCACGCACCCCACCCACCCGATCTCTGTGACTGCTCCTTCCCTGATCTCCAATTTCAGACACCATGAAATATTGGAATATTGAGATGTTTAGCTGCTGATCTATCACAGTGCTGAAAACCAGAGATCGCGAGGCCCTAGTCTGCTTTAGTATAACTAAAATCCTCTGTGTATATTTTAGTATACCTAAAATGTGGCCACCCCACATTTTGTTCAAAAAATTGCTTTGCAGAGGTAGCTACCACAGAGTTATCAAAATTTTCAAAAGTAGGGGATCCATGGCTTGGCTTTTGAAAAATAGGGAGTCCTCAGTAATTAGCTAATTGGGAACCACTGTACTAAGCAATGGATGCGGGTGGCACTGTGGTCTAAACCACTGAGCTGCTTGGGCTTGCTGATCAGAAGGTTGGCAGTTTGAATTCCCGTGACGGGGTGAGCTATTCTTGCTCGGTCCCAGTTCCTGCCAACCTAACAGTTCGAAAGCACGTCAAAGTGCAAGAAGATAAATAGGTACCGCTCCAGCGGGAAGGTAAATGGCGTTTCCGTGCACTGCTCTGGTTCGCCAGAAGCGGCTTAGTCATGCTGGCCACATGACCCGGAAGCTGTCTGCAAACAAACGCCGGCTCCCTCGGCCAGTAAAGTGAGATGAGCGCCGCAACCCCAGAGTCGTTCACGACTGGACTTAACTGTCATACTAAGCAATACAACGAAAAGTCAGCCTCATGGATTTCTATGAGAAACGAATGGGAGAAAGGGGAAAAAAGGGTTTTCATTCCCCCTCCCATTTGCATTTATTTATTTTTAACAGAAATGAATTGCAAACCAATGGGGTGCATTTGTTTTCTTACTCATTCCTTTTAGAGAAACAGATGCATACCTCAATGAGTTGCCTCTGTAAACCTAGCCTGAGCAATGCAGCAAGCTCTCTTAGCTCCCAACTGACCCCTTTGCAATAACTATGTCCTTTGGGCATCTGCAGTTCTGAGCCCCTCCGTTAAGTTTAACCGTGTGAAGTATTCCATTTGGTCCAATTATGTCAAAGTTACGCACTGCGAAGCGGGATATCATCTGGATGATTCAATTTTATTGCCAACCTGATGAACAGAGAGGCTCCATTTTGCATGACAACGAAAGGCTGCGATTTTCAGCTTGTAGGAAGCATTCTGCTTTGCATAATCTTTCTCATTGTGGTAACTGGCTACTGTAGTGTGTAGTTCATTTCAATTATTAGACTGTTATTCCTCCCACAAGGCCAATGGCAAATGCTTTCTGTTGTTATGCAAAATATTCTCTATTGAATCTAGCAGCTGTTCATTACAGCAGAAATGTTGCTCGTAGCCTTAATTTCGCGACACTTCAAATTATTTGGCAATTGCAAAGGCGTGTTTCCTGTGCACTTTCGGTGTAAAATGTAGGTTGTCAAATGGTTTCTCTCTCTCTCTCTCTCAGCCATTTTATGAATCTATTTTTAATTTGTTCCATGTTCTTCTCTTTACCTTCTGTGTGAGAATTGTGCATTATCTGCTCCCACAATGTCTTTTGTCTCCGCTTTCATTTAGAATGGACTAGTTTTAATTATATAGAGTGAGATAACCCAAGATGTCATCTTTTAAAAACACAAAACATTCACCTCAATAGTGTGGTGGGAGGGATCTTGGAATTACAGAAGTCCATCTAGTCCAACTCCCTGCAATGCGGGAATCAGTGCTAGGGAGTCCATTCTACTGTTAATCAGCTCTCACCATCAGAACTTGATCCATGCCTTTGGGCTACACAGTACAGACTCTCCAAGTGTCCCTATTTTCCAGGGACAGTCCTAGATTTATAGAAGCCGCCCCGGTTTCTGATTTGATCCCGGAACATCCTGCTTTTCCTTAAAGGTAAAGGTACCCCTGACCATTAGGTCCAGTCGCGAACGACTGGGGTTGTGGTGCTCATCTCACTCTATAGGCCAAGGGAGCCGGCGTTTGTCCACAGACAGCTTCCAGGTCATGTGGCCAGCATGACAAAGCCACTTCTGGCGAACCAAAGCAGCGCACGGAAACGCCGTTTACCTTCCCGCCGGAGCGGTACCTATTTATCTACTTGCACTTTGACGTGCTTTCGAACTGCTAGGTTGGCAGGAACTGGGACCGAGCAATGGGAGCTCACCCCATCGCGGGGATTCGAACCGCCCACCTTCTGATCGGCAAGCCCTAGGCTATGTGGTTTAGACCACAGCGCCACCTGGCACCTGCTTTTCCTTAGGACGCCCCTAGTTTCATAGGAGAAATGTTGGAGGCTATGTTAGGACGTCATTATCTTCATCAGAGAAATGTTGGAGGGTATGTTGGAGCATTATGTGACCCCCGAACCAAGGGGATAAGCAAATAGACAACTTTTAGAAGACATCTGAAGGCATCCCTGTATAGGGAAGTTTTAAATGTTTATTGTTTTATTATGTTTTTATATATGTTGGAAGCTGCCCAGAGCATGTGGGGCAACCTAGTCAGGTGGGCTGCACAGGGTATAAATAAGAAAAGTGTTGTTGTTGTTGTTGTTGTTGTTGTTGTTGTTGTTATGGACATCCCTATTTTTATCAGAGAAGTGTTGGAGGGTTTCAGTGATTGGGAACCCTGTATGGTTATTAATTATGTGAATTACCGTATTTTTTGCTCTATAAGACTCACTTTTTCCCTCCTAAAAAGTAAGGGGAAATGTGTATCTGTCTTATGGAGCGAATGCAGGCTCCACAGCTATCCCAGAAGCCAGAACAACAAGAGGGATTGCTGCTTTTACTGCGCAGCGATCCCTCTTGCTGTTCTGGCTTCCGAGATTCAGAATATTTTTTTCCTTGTTTTCCTCCTCCAAAAACTAGGTGCGTCTTGTGGTCTGGTGCGTCTTTTAGAGTGAAAAATACGGTACTTAACAGGGCTCTGGAAAGGTGCTGTTTTCACTTGCATTTCATCAATCCACCCCCTTCCACCACATTTACAGATAACATGTCTGAAACATGTGCTTTCCCAGTGAGTTTGGGATAACATTGCTAGCAGTAGACTTAGCTTGGGTCCTGCTATACATGATGGGGCTCCAGTGGCAATTTCTTTCCCCTCTGTCAGTCCTTTTCTGCTTCATCCCCATCCTGTGCTTTTTCAAAGATGTAGTATATGTCATTTAATTCTGCATCCAGTTGTGTGCCTGGCCAATTCAGCAAGTAATGGCTTTGGATTAATCTTTTTACTGCCTAGTTCATATAACAATGAAAAAAAGCCTGAATGCTTAATGGCGTTGTTTGCTACAAATATTATGCCATAATATTTCAGGCCTAATAGCTGTTGTTAAGAAGTACAATCTATTGCTAGGTAGTTCATTTCTTTCCAAAGTGGAGAAAGGGAACGTGTGCATATGTGTTTTCCTCATAGCAGGAAGCTCATTGTTAAAAGTAAATGGACTAAGAGGCTGTGCCCTATAACACTGACATGTCCTCTTACTGTACTGCCTAGTGGAAAGATGAGAGGTGTGGCTTGGAGTCACACACAAGCCTATCTAGAGGAACAAGTCAGGCCCTAAAGACTTGTTATCTAAGCACAGTTCTGTACTTTCCTGGTTCGTGCCTGAGCACTGTTTTTCTTTTCCCCCCCTTTTTTTTAAAAATAATACTTTATTTAGAATTCAACAATAACAAAGGGGGAAAAAACCACAGTAACTGCTACATTAATTAATTGCAATTAACCAATTTTAACAAAATGATCAAACCTATCCATTCTTAAGGAAATCAGCCCTGAGTGCTCACTGGAAGGACAGATCGTGAAGCTGAGGCTCCAGTACTTTGGTCCCCTCATGAGAAGAGAAGACTCCCTGGAAAAGACCCTGATTTTGGGAAAGATGGAGGGCACAAGGAGAAGGGGACGACAGAGGACGAGATGGTGGGACAGTGTTCTCGAAGCTACCAGCATGAGTTTGACCAAACTGCGGGAGGCAGTGGAAGACAGGAGTGCCTGGCGTGCTCTGGTCCAGGGGGTCACAAAGAGTCAGACACAACTAAAAGACTAAACAACAACAACAACAACAAATAGTAATAGAAAAAATACACAACATCACTTTTAACTTACTGAAGTTTTCATATCACACTTTTATCTCTTTATCTCTTTCTTAACAAATCAAAAAGAGAAAGACCAAGGAAGGAGGCAGAAAAAAGAGAAAAGAAGAGGAAGAAGAAGGGGGGGGGAAGGGGGAAAGAAGAAAAAGGAAAACAAAACAAAA